AGGAGGGAGGGGGGGGGGGGGGTCGGGGGTCAGGGCAGGTATGTGTTTTGGTCTGGAAGGTGAGTCACGCAAAGGGTCGGAGCATGGGAAGGGCCTGATCCAACCTCAAGACTGCTTTGATGGCCACATTATGATGGCATATTGTGAATCCCACTCTTGGTGTGGCAACATGTTTGTCGTTCACCCAGTGCATGAACGTCACCCTGTGAAGATCTCGGAAAGCTTCCTTCCCGCTGCCACACACACTACACGGTGTTACCACGCTCACCTGAACTCGGGGGAGGTCACCCCCTGGAACTCCTTCTCCAGCAGCTCTGGCTCGTCGGGGGACAGACCCTCGTACCGCAGCGAGCGCGGCCGGAACTGGGACGAGCAAAAGGGATGGGTGGGCACGAGGGAGCATGGGGGTGGAGGGACAGCGGGGGCAGGGCGACCATGCCTTCGTACACAAAGCCCATGGATGCGCCGCAGGCCCCACCCACAACGCAACCATCGACTCACCCGCCGCGCTCGCTCCTCCCGGGCCTGGGGTTGGGGCACCAGAATGGCTGCCTCCACCGGCTCTGGCGCCTTGGGCTGCGGCTCAAACGCCCCCGGCAGCCGCGCCGCCCCCGCCGCAGGCTTGGCCTGCCGCCCGGCGGCAGCGCTGGTCATCATGGCAGCAGGGCCTGCCGCCGAGGGCGCAGCATAGCCGCAGGGTCCCTCACCCAGCCCGCCGCCTGCCAGCTTGGCGAAAAGCTCCCCCGCCGCCTTCTTGTCCCCGGCCGGGAGCCCGTTCTGGGCGGCCAGCAGGCTGTCATGAGGGACCACCTGTGCAGCGTGCAGGTTGTGGGAGCCGGTGGCGGTCGGAAGACAGGGCTCAAGCAGCCTGCCCCAGAGAGTTATTGCTCCTTTGGCGCATTGAGCGTAAAACATGGTGTATTCTTTCTTTGACCGGTCTTGGGAAAGACAAGTCGTTGCCTGCCCCGTGCAGCACTCTTTTCGTGTCCAGGCACGCCACCCTTGGCCACTACCACAGCCCTGCAAGCGCTTGAACATCGCACTCCTCCACCTCACACCCACCTGTGCAGCGGCCACTAAGAGGGCAGAGCCTGCATCCCGCACAGCCACGGTCTTGTCCCGGCTTGCGGCCAGTATCGCGCGGACCAGGGCGTCAGCGCCCTCCCGCTTCACCCCAGGCCCCAGGCTCTCCGTCATCCTGAAAGGGTGGGGTTGCGGCGGCACAGGTGGGTGAGGGTCTGGGTGGTAACCTTGGCAGGTCCACACCGAGGAGGACCACCACTAGCACAGCACTCGACGGGGCGCAGCTTTGCCACTCTCATGTCGCGGCGCAGCTCTGACACAGCACTGCCGCACAGGAGCTCCCCTGCCTCCCAGCTTTGGCAAGCTCTTCCCTGATTCCCTTTTGGCTCCCGCACGTCACCCCCTCCCCGCCCTCCCAACCCAAAACATACACACAAACCCAAACCCCGCCGCCTCACCAGGCGAGGGCGGCCACCTTGCCGTCGGCCAGGGTTCGCGTCGCCACGACGGCCTCCAGCACGGCCGGCAGGAGGCGATCCAGGCTGGCCACGCCCAGCCAGGCGGTGAGCAGGCCCAGCGCCGCGTCGCGCACTTGCTTCTTGTTGTCCGACAGGTTGGACACGGCGGGCGCCAGGAGGAGGCGGCCCGCCACACGGTCAAACTCGGGGCCCATGGCCGTGGCAATTCTGGAAAGCGTGAGCAGGGCCTTGGCCGCCAGGTTGCGGTTGGTGTCCGCCAGCCGGGACTGCGCAGGAGCGGGTTGGAGAGGTTCATGGAGTGAGAGGGCTGATGAGTGTGCTCGCGAGCATCGAATCCGCATGCATGAGACTGACCCGAGAGAGGCAGGCTTCCGCTGATCGAGGTTCAGGAGCATGCGATCTGTACCATCGCCAGCCCATGGAGCCCTTTGACATCCAACTTCCCGCTATCCTTGCCCACCCCTCGATGGTCCATCTCCAACACACATCACAGACCTTGAGGGCAGGGAGGAGCTCGCCCAAGTCGGGCGCGATGCGGCCGCCCGCGCCGCGGACCAGGTCGTCCACCTGCTCGATGCCCGTGTTCCGCTCCTTCCAGTTGGAGGAGGCCAGCATGCTGAGCAGGGTGAGGGTGATGGCGCCGGCGATAGAGGTGCGGGGCAGGAGGTCGTCCACCGACACCGCGCCGGGGGAGGGCTCGCTACCCTCCTCATCCACATCCATGGGGGCAGCACCTGCAGAGGGGATGTTGGTGATGAGGGTTGATAAGCGTGGGTGGAGGCGGCTGAGGGTGCAGAGTTGGGCCATCGGGACTTCAGAAACTCTCAGATGGGCCGCAGCTGCCCTGCCCGGTCATCCCCTCATCATGCTCGGTCTGCACCACTCCTACTCCTTCCCTCCCTCAATTTTAGCTCCCCTCCTGCTGCAGTCCCCGCACCAGCCCCCGCACCGCGTCGGCGGACGTGGCGGGTGGGTACCACCTCCTCGCGTGGGTTGCGCCGGAAGGCGTCCTCCACCTGCGTCACCTGGGCGGGCTTCAGCCCCTCCAGCGCCCCCGCCGCCATGGCCGGGCCCAGCTGCGCGTGGCAGGCGCCCAGCAGGTCCACACCCCGCGCCCGCACCGGCGCGGCCGCCGAGCCCAGCGCCTCCCGCGCCCAGGCCAGGAGGGCGGGCACGTCGAAGGCGGCGACGCCAAAGGCCGGCACCGCGGCCGCCACCCAGGCCAGGGCTTCGGCGGGGACCTTGGGATTCTTGGCCGCGCCGGCCAGGCGCTGGAGCGTGGCGCAGACAAAGCCGGGGCCCACCGCCTCGGACACCGCGTCCAGCCCGGCAATCACGGGGAGCCTGCACGAGGTGTGTTCATATTTGGGAAATGAACTGAGCCTGGTGTCGACTCTTGGGGTCAGATCAACGCACTGTCAGGCAGTGTGAGCTGCAGAGGGGGCCCCACCCCATGGCTATGAGAGGAGGGCAACCGATAAGAATGATCCCCCCACTTTTCACCGACCAACACCTTCAGCCCATACCTGTGTTTCAGCTCAGCGATCTTCTCGGCCATGCCCTCCACCGCGATCCCGGCGTCCCGCCGACTCAGCGGGCCGGCAGCCAGGGCGGCGATCACCTCATACACCTTGTTCAGCACCTGGAAGTTCTTCTCGCCCCAGCTGGGGAGCACAGCCAGGCACTGGATGAGGACGCCGGGGTCGCGGGCGGCGGGGCCCCTCTCGGCCACCAGCGCGGCCACCTTTTCCATGCCCTCCAGCCTCTCCTGCCACTTGGCACTCTGGAGCAGGGCCACTGCAAATTAGAAGGAGGTTGGGTGTGGGGTGGCGGAGGATGGGTGCATGCTCAGCCACGATCGGTTCCCATGGTGCACAGGGTTTGCTCCATGCCGGAGGGTGGCCAGGTGAAACCCTGAGGAGTCACAGCCTGGCCGCCAGCCCGTCATCGCCAGCATGGCCCTGATTGCGGCATGCGCGCATGCACGTCTGCGTGCAATGCACGAGCCTTAGTCCACCCCCTACCTCCCGGACTTGCCTGTGTCGGCGCCCACCAGCTCAGCAAATCGCTCCAGGGCCTCCTCTGGGCCCAGCCGCGGGCCGGCGCTCGCCTCCTCGTCCCGTCCGCCGCCTGTTGTGCCAGTATGGCAGGGAGAGGAGGGCAGGAAAGTGAGGAGGCAGATTACAAAGCGGTAGACATTCAGGAAACCCAACGCTGGTTGCCCAAGAGCACACAGCGCTCATGCCCAAGGCATCACGCAGACCATGGCCACCCTAACCTCACCCTCACCTGGCGCTGAGCGTGCCGACGGCGGCGCGCCTGCCGCTGCAGGCTGCCTGCGGGCCGGCGCGGGCTGCGCTGCCTTGATGGCGGCTCCTCCCAGCGACTTGCCTGCTCCTGGTCGAGGGCTGGAGCCCTTGGAGGCGGGCTTGGACGCGGTGGCGGCCGCCTTGGCGGCGGGCGGCGCGGCGGCCTTCCCAGCCCGCGGCCCGGCGGCCGCAGCAGCCACCAGCTCCTCCACTTTCTTGCGCTTGCCGTCGTCCAGCTTCTCCAGCACCTGCCGGCGCAAAGAAGGGGGGATGGGGCCTTGAGGAGGGTGCGTACGGGGCAGGTGTCAAGACACAGCTTGAGCGGGGAGCGTCGGCAACTGCATCGCCCTGCTGGATTGGGGCGTGCGCACAAGACCAGAGTCTGTCATCTTCAGCGTGTCCCACGAGCACTCCCTCGCACCTTCTCGATGGCTGCCAGGGACCCGCCGCGCACGGCAAAGGCGGCCAGGCCTGCCTGCGCCGCCTCCCTGACCCCGGCATCGGCATCGGAGGCCAGCTTCCCCAGAGCTGCCGGCAGGGACTCCTTGAGCGCCCTGAGTGCGATGGGCTTCGGGCAGCCCTCCACCATGGCCGTCACCAGCTTGCCCGTCTCCAGCCGCACTGCGTGTGTGTGTGTTGGTGGGGGGGCGGGCGAGCTTGTCAGGGGTTTGTTGCTTGTGCACGAGCGGTCTGGGAGTCAGAGGAGGCTGTCAGACAGCTCCATTGCGCCCCGCCCTCACGGTCTCTGACTCGACAGCGCACGACTTGCATGTGTTCCCAGGGCCCCAGAGCCCCAGGCCGTTCGCGCGCCTCAGCTTTGCACACGGCGGCCTCTCAGTGTCCCATCTCAACCCATTGCACCTGCTCACAAGCCTTCTAAGGCCTACCTTTGGGGTTCTTGTGCTCCATAGCCGCCACCAGGTCCTCCGCCACGTCCAGCAGTGAGTAGCAGTGGGTGCCCAGCGTGCGCAGCGTGTCCTCTGCAGCCCGGCTCATCATGATGTTCTTCTCCTTCAGCCGCTCCAGCAGGTTAGGGCACAAGGACTGGGAGGACAGAGAGGAGGGGTTAGGTTGGAGTGAGCAGACAGAGTGGGCGTGCAGGCGGCCTGGCCAAGCCTGGCGCCGTAGAACACAGCAGGCAAGAATGCCACACCCCCATGTTCAATGCGCGATGCCACCCGGGGTCCCCCATCCCAGCCCCACTGGCCCCACCCTTGCACACCTTGGCAGCACTGCTGAAGCCGGAGCGGAGGCCGGAACCAAGGGCACCTGCCACCTCAGCCGCGGCCGTGGCGCAGGTGATGTTGGCGTCTTTGGCCAGCACCTTTTTCAGCTCCCGCACCACCGCGCCGTAGTCGCCTTCCGCCAACCTGCACACAAGAAAAGGGTGGGGCAAGGGGAAGCCATAAGCGAGCCAGCTCCGGGCACTCTGCGCGGTCCCGCCATCCACCGTGGCAACACTGTTCCCGTCAATCCTCATCCTCCTACTCCTTCCAACTTCCCAAAACCAGACCTGGTGGCCCTGGCGGCGTCCCGCAGCCGGTCCAGGGCAGCTTTCCGCACATTCCACTTCTTGGACTCGAAGCAGTCCCAGAAGGCCACCCTGTTTTGACGAGATGATAGTGCGATCAAAACTGATGCTGCTTCCATTGCCGAGTTTGGAGCAGAGCCCGCCCAAAAGCCATGGTACTGCGCAGGTCCATCCTGGAAGCCACCACACACCCTCAAGACCAAAGGAGTCAGCAAATCTACATGACGACACTGTGTACGCATATGAAGCAGCATGCCCACTTTTGGCTTCAGGGCATCATCAACCAAAAAGACATCACCTGTCGTCCACGATGGTCAGCACCTCCTTCTGCAGCGGTCCCAGGATGTCCACCGGCGTAGCATACTCATATGCATCCACTCCCTTGAATAAGGATGGGGGGCTTGATGTCAGTTCCTCGGGAAGATGCCTGATGCAGAATGCCACAGCATGTGTCTCATCATACATCACCCCCACCACACCCCCACCTCACCTCATCAACCTCCTCTGCCGCTTCCGCGGCAACAAGGCCGGGCTCTGCCTCATCGTCGACGTCCATAGCCTCTGGCTGCCCCGCAGCCACGGCCCGCTCCTCCTGCTCCCGCCTGGTCCAACGCTCCGGGGCGCGCTTTCCCGGCGGCAGCTCGGCGATGGCCGCCTCTACGTCCTTCTTCATCGCGGCAGGCATCTTCTCGAACAGCGCCCCCGCCACCACGGCCAGGCCCAGGTAGGAGGCCAGCTCCACCGAGATCTCCTTGGCCTTGTCGCGGACCTGGGCATTGGCGCTGCCATACACAGTCGGCAGCGCCCGGATGATGGGCTTGGGGTCCACCACCTTGGTACCGAACAGGCTGTGCTTGGTTGTGAAGAGGAGGGGAGAGGAGGCGGAGCGTCAAGAGGGAAGGTAATGCGTGGGAATAGCTGTAGCGCCCCATGCCACCTACCGGACCCGGCAGTCAGCGTGCCTGCTGGCGGCATGGGGGCACATCCGCAACCCCAATCCTGCCGCTTAACCCCCCATTCCCCCCGACCTGACGGCGTTCTTCAGGATGTCCAGCGCCGCGACGGCGACCTTGGGCACCTTGTCCCCGGACGCCTTGATCGCGCTTTCCACCACCGACTCCTGCTGCTCCAGCTCGACGAGCAGGTAGCAGGCCTCGGCGGCCTTTGCCACTGTGAAGGGCCTGGCTTTCAGGGACTTGGCACTGATGGCCGAGCATACGCTGCTGGCCAGCCTGTTGGAATGAGATGGAAAGGGGAAAAGGGCATGAGTCACTGGGTGCAGTGGTAGTGCTGGCGCTGGGCACGCCCCCCACAGATCGACCTCCTGCCAATGGACAGCGGGCGCGAGCTGGCATGATATCTTGGAACACTAGCGCACACACACAGGAAGTCACAGTCACCTCGAGGCCTGTTGTACATCGGCCTTGGCGAGCCAGGCGCAGAGGGCCTCAATGGAGGTGTCCTGGACATTGAGATTGGCGTCGCCCAGGCCCTTGGCAAACAGGGGCCCTGCACATGCACGGATCGGAAGGGGGGCTGGAGATCAGCACACGGCTCAATACGAGGCTGAAGAGGCGGGATTATCGCCTCATACGCACCACCACCACCCTCCGCGCCTGCTTGGTGAAGGATTGGATCCTCGCTGCTGAAGGCCTTGGCACAGGCGTCCTTCACGTCATCGAAGAGCTCGCTCCTGACCTTCCATGTCTTGTGAGCCGCCCTCTCGTCCAGAGGAAGCTTCTTGGCTGCGGCGAGGACCGCAGCCTCATTGTCCGCCATTGCGGCGGGGGCACGGAGGGGGTCACCCCCTATGAGCTCACCGTCCCTGAACCGTGTCGCGCGACTTGGGAGCTGTTGGGTCACCAGGCACGCGTATTGTATCCGAACATGGTATCCTTCATACCCTTGTAACTGGATCGCGGAATGCGGTGTATGGGGATCGACGAGATTTAAAAAGGTCGCCGCTCGCCCGTCGCCTGTCGGGGCGACGATCACGCGCTCAGACTTTCTCCTCGCATGCACTTACCACCATGGCCATTTGGCTTCGGAACGAATAGCGTGATTATAACTGAATAAATTGCCAGACTCTATCCTATTGATGCGATTGAGGACACGTTGGCTCCTATACCAGTGCAGCGTCACAGGAGCGGCGTATCTGACCAGAGCTCTGCGTGCTGCACGGCAAGCCTGACACACACTCAACCCTCCGAGTCAGCGTAATTATCGTAGCTCATAGCTGGGTGCAAGTTCCCAACGGTAAGAGATCTTGGCGAGTGCCAGCACCCTGCTCCAATGCTCCCACTCGCATGCAAACATCAAGGGGTGCATGTTTCCGATGCAGGGTTGAAGAGTGATGGAGGACATCGACATGTATGCCGACATCGGTAGGTCGCGCATTCTCGAGTTGACATAGCGCAGCGGTGATCTGCATGGTCCCTTTGACAGTGCCAGGGTGTGCCGAGATGTAGGACGGCCATTGCTTCTGCGTCTGAACATCAGGGTGGGGCGTGATAGCCCTCGCGACCACCCTCAGTACTGGGTATATAGTCAATGTCTTCTTCATTCACCATCACCGCACACCACTGCTGCTCACCGCAGCCGGCTACCAGGCATCGGCTGACGAGAAGCCGTCGACTACACAGGGAGACACCAAGCCAGAGGTCAAGCCGCATGTAAAGCCCTCGCCTGCCACGCCAGGCCAGGCTGTCTCGGTGTTCTTTAGTAACCTGCAGTGGTGGACCACCGACGTGGAGATCGAAGGGATCTGCTCCGAGCATGGTCCGGTGCTGGCGGTACGCTTCATCGAGGATAAGGCCTGCGGCAAGTCGAGGGGGATGGCGGTGGTCGATGTAGCCTCCCTGGCGACCGCGCAGGCCATCATCGCCGGGGTGAATGGGTAGGTGGTTCATCATAGGAGGCGTTTGGGAGTCTGAGGAATTGGCATATTGATCCTGGCATTGGCACATTAATCCTGGCAGACATGAGTACTTATAAGTATCTCATTCGAGGACAGTGATGGGTAGGGACATCACATCCCGCGACGAGCCTCCCTCCCTGGATCCTCCATTGCTTGGCTTGCCTCCTGCCCACTGCAGGCGGACGGTGAACGACCGGCCATGTCGGGTGACCCTTCACCAAGAGCGGACCTCAACTCAAGGGGCGGGGGGAGCCAGCAACGCCTCTGGCGCACCCCCCGCCCCTCTCCCACTGGGAGCTTCAGGGCCAAGGGCCCTGCCCCTAGGAAGACGGCCAGGGGATGGAGGAGCAGAGGCAAAGGGGCCGCCCATGATGGGCATGCCGCACATGATGGGCATGCCGCACATGATGGGCATGCCGCACATGGGTATGCCAGGTGCGCTGAAGTTGGGAAGCGAGTTTGGGGCACAAGGCTGCTGGGTCAAACTCTCTTGTGCTACAGTATGCCATGTGTCGAGTCCCTGATTCCCCTGGCTTTGGGGCTGTACATACACAGATGTCCCGAGCAAAGGGCGGCAGAGCAGCCAGCTGGATCATGCGGTGCGCGATGTTCCACCCTATCCCCCCTCTCCCCTCCTCGCAGGCATGGAGATGATGATGCAGGGTGTGATGCCGGGCTACGGCATGCCCGTCCCGCCAGGCATGCCGGGGTTCAAGCCACCCCCGCCGCCCGGCGCGCCGCCCCCTCCCCAGCGGTGACGTACGCACCAGGAGCGGCGGTGCGGCGACGCACAAGAGCAGCCCTGTGCCGGGGAACGCCGTGCCCTGCGCTGATCTGTAACCCATCTTCCTTGCCATGCACATCACGCCGCTGTGCTCCATCCAGGCCAGGGGCGCGTGGTGTGGGGCAGCAACTGTTCGGGCTCCGAGCCAGAAGCACGTTTCACAAAAAAATCTCCTCCACGCCGCAGCCGCTGCCGTAACAGCCAGGGTCGGCCGAGATCCTGGGCCGCCTGCCGCCGCGCTCCGCGCGCTGCGGCTGCGCCTCCGGCACGTGCCCCGCCTCCCGCAGCCACTCCCTCCACACAGGGTGGGTGCGGAGGAGCGCGGAGCAGCCCAGGACCACCAGCCCGCGCCGCGCGCGGGTGATGGCCACGTTCACCCGCCGCCGGTCGGCGAGGAAGCCGAGGCGCTGCGTGCGCGTGGTGCTGAGCAGGACCACGTCCGCCTCGCGGCCCTGGAACCCGTCGATGGTGCTGATGCAGACCAGCGGCCCGCGCGGCCGGGCGCCCCGCGCGTCGGCGCAGTCCGGCGCGGCCAGCGCGCCGTCGCCCTCGGCGTCGGCGGGGCGCGCGATGCGCAGGCGGGTCGGGTCGGCGTGGCGCAGCAGGCTGGCCGCCTGGCCGGCGTAGGGCGTGAGGATCGCCACGCTGCGCACGCTGGGGTCCGCCGCGGATATGGCCTCAGCCAGCGCCAGCGCGGCCTGCGCCTCCAGCGTGTTGTTGTAGGTGTGGGTCAGGGAGGAGCCCGCGCTGGAGCCCACCAGCTGCTCCCGGCCCCCCGATCCACGAAGAGCAGCGGGGGGGGGGCCAGGGGTCGCCCGCGCTCGCGGCGGGCCAGGCCACGCCAGCCACCGCGGGGCGGTCCGCGGGGCCCACCCCCGACGCCAGCCGACCGTCGTAGAAGAGGCGGGAGGGGAAGCTGGCCAGCGCGGGGTGCATGCGGTACTGGGTGTCCAGAAGGGACACGGGGAGGCCCGCCTCCTCCGCCAGCCGGTGAAAGAGCGTGGGCGGGGGTGGGGGGCCCGCAGCGGCGCCACTGCTCCTGGCAGTGCCCGACGCGGCACGCCGAACCCCCTCGGCCCTGCCTCTCGGCTCGCCACCACCAGCAGCGGTGGCGTCCCCCCTCCCCCAGTCGCTGTCCCCTTGCCGCGCCCAGGGCCGCCGCCCGCCGCCGCCCAGCGTGAGCGGGGGCAGCTGCGCGGGGTCGCCCGCCGCGACCACGGCCTCCGCGCCGCGCAGCAGCGCGCACAGCGTGCTGGCCTCCCCCGCTTGCGCGGCCTCGTCCAGGACCACCAGCGCCCACCGCGCGCGCGCCAGGCGCCGCTCCGCGCTGGACGCGCAGGTGGCCACCACCACCTGCGCTGCGCGCAGCACGCGCGCAGCAGCCACCTCAGACAGCGCGTCGGCCTCGCGCCATGCCTTGGTCACCACCGAGGCCACCATGCCCGGCGGCACGCTGTCCTCCAGGCGCAGCGGCGGGGGCGGCGGCGGGAGGGGTGGCGGCGGGGTGACCGGGGGTGGGCGGCGCACCGACGGGCGCGCGGTCGCGCCCGCGCATGAGCAGCGCCGAGGCACGCTCGCGCAGCTTCACCGCCTGGGAGGCGGAGGGTTGTGTGGGATTGGGTGGGTGAAATGAGGCGTGTGGGTGTGGGTGTGGAGGAATGAATGGGGAGTGATGATAGGTATGAGTTTCCCGGGGAATCCGACACAAGGCCTCTGAAAATCCGTGCACACACCATGATCAACGGATAGCAATGCAGGTGTCCCCAGATATGATTCATGGCCGGAGTCCAGGGCAGCCTTCTTCCGGCAAATGCATCAACGACAGTGGTTCCCACAGTGCGTGCCGCTGTCCCCTTCTGATTCCCCACCTCCTCCCAGATCCATCCCCTTGCACCTCCGCAAACACACCCTCTCCCCTTCCCCCCCCCTAAATGCGCCTCTCACCCGCGCGCCCTCGCCCGTCCGCTCGCTCAGTGCATCCAGCGTCAGCGCGCGCAGGTCCGGGCGCACGCGCGCTGGCTGGCCGACGCGTACCGCCGCAACGCCGCGCGCGCGCAGGCCCTCCAGCAGGTTGTCCGCGCCCGCATTGGTCTCGGCCACCGCCAGGATGGGCCCCGGCCCGCAGCGCGCGGCGCGGCCCGCAGCCAGCGCCACCTGGATCAGCGCCAGCAGCGTCTGCGTCTTCCCCGTCCCCGGCGGGCCCTGCCAGAGCGAGAAGGTGGCGCCCAGCGCGGCGCCCACCGCGGCGCGCTGGGAGGGGTTGAGCGCGCCGCAGCGCGCCAGCGCGTCGGCCACGGCCGGCGCCCAGCGCGCGTCGCGCGCCCAGGCGGGGGGGGCGGCCGCCGCAGCGCGCGCGACACGCGGCTCGCCGAGCAGCACGGCGCGCACGCGCGCCTCGCCGGGGCGCAGGCCCTCCAGCCGGCCCAGTGCGCCCAGCGCGTCCAGCTGGCGCTGCAGCGGCGCCAGGCAGGGGCCCGCGTCCATGCGCCAGCGCCGGCGCGCGCCGGGGTCCAGCACCGCCGCCGCGCCGGCGCCGCCCACCGCCACCGTCAGCCACTTGAGGCCATGCTGGGAGACCACTGTGGCGTCTAGGACGGGGCCGGCGGGCTGCCCCGACTCCGAGGCCAACAACACCACGGGCTGGCCGGGAACAAAGGAGTGGCGGGAGAGGAGCGTGCCCTCGGGCGGGGTCAGCCGGACGAGCAGGTCGGTGTGCAGGGTGCCGCAGGGCGCGGCCGCCAGGCCCACCAGCACCAGACCGCGGCGTTGGAGCACGGGGAGCGGGGTATCCAGCACCAGGCGGTGCACGCGGTCACGCTGGGCCTGATGTGGCGTGGTTGGGAAGGGGGTCGCGGAACAAAGGGTGACCGGGCGGCTTGGAAGGGTAAGCATTAGCAAAAGAGAGGGCCACAAGGAGGAGAAAGACTCTGCAGGTGCGGTGCCATCCGGAAAACACCCGCAGGGTAGTGTTTGTGCGACACAGGAGCCTCACCCCTCCTCCACCATCCATGAGCACGACTGCTCACCTGGATCTCTGCCTGCACGCCCTGCTCCAGCCTGTCTATCAGCTCCTTGGACCTGCCCTCCAGCTCACGCAGCAGGTTGGGGGTCGGGGCCGGGCTAGGGGGGGCGGCCATGGGGGAGGCACTCTTCAGTACGTGGCGAGGGTGGGGCTTGGGGGTTCTCGACGGCATCCAGGGGGCATGGCGTACACGATACGATGTGGCCCGAAGTACAGCTCCAGGCCTCAGCTGGAGGGCGCGTGACAGATCCATGGCCCAGGACAGCGGCCGTGGGAAAGCCTCGGCGACACTACGACGGCAGCCCTGGAAGGAGCGGTCTGGCCCGCATTCTGGGGTATGCACACATGAATTTCGCGACTCAATGTTATATGCCACAAGTTCTTCACTCAATGGGAGGTGGTACTCGTTACACTGTGGTGTCTTTGGTTGTTTTCGCATGGGACATCCCTGGGCGCTAGAACACGTGCATGATTTGTGGGGGTCGGTGAGCAACCCATAGGGGGGATGTGTTGATTATGAGCAAGCCACAGCGTTGACTGGAGGACGTGAAGGCCCGAATACCACTGTTGAATCTAACAGGTATCCATGACTCAGCCGAGGGGCAACAATAACGGGGACTCGTGGTCCTGTACTGCAAGAAAGAGTGTCGAGGGTGGCAGAAAGCAGACAGCACTGCTCAAAAGGGCAAACACAGGGCGTTCAGAGTTATATAGTCCACGTAGCCGGGCAGAGTGGTGAACGAATGACTCCATGCAAACGACGCAAGCAGGGCAAAGATAAAGAGGCGCGACATGCAAAGTCTTGCTGTTCACAGGTGATATTTCTGATGGAAGGTGTGGCACCACGATAGGGTGTCTGGTTTGACAGTGGGTCACATGATTTGGCCGGAATGGAAACTACAAAACTGCTGGAAATTGCACAGCTCAAGGCTAGCATTCAGCTGGCCAAGGCAAGGACATGGTTACACAAGTTCTCTGCAATCGTGATAGTCAAGTACATCGTACAGAATGACGTCTCTCCTCCCACATGGATCTTGGAGTATCAGTTTCAATTGGCTGGATCCTTGGATGGATGCCCTCCATGCCAGCTTTTTGACTTGTGCCCACCCAAGGCATGGTGGCCTCACACAGGTCCACGGAATCCCAGCTGAGCTCCCCATTAGGCACCTCCCAACGCGCTGGCATCGGCCAGCGTCCACATTTACCATGTCGACTCTTCTCACTGGTGTCGTGCGATGCGACGTCGCATCATCGCCAAGAAATTCCTCGCTGCCCTTGCACTCCAAGCTCGCTGGCTTGGCGCCTGTGGTGGCATGCCGGAGGCATGGGCCTCCGACAGCCTCCGAGAAGTGGAGGATGTCCAGAAGGAGGCATGCTTACACCTTACGACCTCAGTCTGTGGCTGCTGACACTTCCCAGGCGTCTCTGAGCGAGAGCGCGATTCGCACGGAGACCTGGACATGGAGGGGCCACAGGATTCGCTACCTGGTGGCGGGGCGACGCGGCGACTCCTCCTCCCCCGCCCTCCTGTTGGTGCATGGATTCGGATCTAATGCGGATCACTGGCGAAAGATAATGGAGGTGCAGGCCGGCGACCGACAGGTGTATGCCATCGACCTACTGGGTGCGTGGGTAGGGTGGGTTAGGGAGGTGGGTGGATGGTGGTTTAACCAGGACTTTGTCCTGGGAAGCGCCGGGGATGCAGGCGCGTCTTGGGCGAAAGCACGTACGATATTTTCTCATGTCAGTAACATTGGATGTCAATGAAGCATCCATGCCATTCTGCTCCCTTTTCCGTGACGGGACGCTACCTCCTCAATTTAAAGACTCACCCCCCCCCTCTGTGCACACAGGGTATGGTTACAGCGACAAGCCCAACCCGCGCCTGGCCGGCCCCCCATCCAGCCTATACAACTTCGACACCTGGTCAGACCAGCTCCTGGACTTCACTCGTGCCGTCATCGGCCGCAGCGCCGTCCTTTCCTGCAACTCGGTGGGGGGCCTGGCCGGCCTGCAGGCAGCGGTGAAGGACCCCGCCATTGTGCGGGCGGTGCAGGTGATCAACATCTCCCTGCGCGCGCTGCACCTCTCCAAGCAGGCGGCCTGGAAACGGCCTGCCGTCAGCACGCTGCAGCGCGCGTTGCGCACGACGGGGGCGGGCCCCTGGCTCTTCAAGCGCCTGGCCACGCGGGACGGGGTGCGCAGGGTCCTGCAGACCTGCTACGGTGACCCAAAGACCGTGACGGACGAGCTGGTGGACTACATCCTCAAGCCGGGGCTGGAGCCGGGGGCGGTGGAGGTGTTCCTCGACTTCATCTCCTACAGCTCTGGCCCACTGCCGGAGGACCTGCTGCAGGTGTGTGTGTCTGGTTGGAGGGAGAGGGGTCGCGGGGCTCGAGCCTGTGCTGTGCAGGGAAGCCAGGACGAGCTGGGAATGCGGTGATCCTAGTCCTCTGGTGGAGCGCAAGCCAAGCACACTGGGTGCTTCCCGTGAATGTGACACATGTGGACAATGGCTGCCAGCATCAGGAAAGCCAATGATGCTTGCACCTTGGGCCTCAATCTTCTACCCTACCCGATTACAAATGGCAAAGTCGGGACCCACACACTCAAAGTCGGTTGGAATGGTCCCACACTCATCCCCATGTTCCTACTGCTACAGGCCTGCAAGGTCCCAGTGAGCATACTGTGGGGAGAGGCTGATCCCTGGGAGCCTGTCAAGCTTGGCAGAACGCTGGCGCTGTATCCGTCCGTGGAGGAGTGGGCTTCCCTGCCAGGCAAGCAGGGTGCCCTGTGGCGCCGATGCAGGACAGCTCACGGGGGTCTGGGGAAAGCATGTCAGGGACAGAGACCTTTGGATTCCTCACAAACCCAATGCGTGCCCCGCTGCTCAGGTGTGGGACATTGCCCTCAGGACGAGGCACCCGACCAGGTGAACCCCTTTGTGACGGAGTTCATGAGGCGGCATGGCGGGGAGTGCGCTACTTCACAAAGCAGCCAGAGGAACCTACATGCTTCCTTAAATAATTCACCACTCGATTCTGCTGCTGCGAAATCCGCATGATGTCTATTTTCTTATGTTTGTCACATGTCCATCATCTGACAAGCTTGCCAAACACTCGCTTGCGCTCATGGCATGCCCCTCTCCTTGCCACGGCCGATCAACCGCGGATGGCTCACACTGTTAATTATTGTGTCAGATGTGCAATCTGTGAGCGAAGAACAAGAGGGCACCTCGCGGCGCTCGTTTCATGAAGTCCCTTTCAACCTTGAAGGCCATTCATGGGAAGACACTGACGAAAGTGCTGAGCGTGCTCCGACGCCGTGGCGATCAAACCTAACGGCGACAGGAGCGGCGCCGCAGGCGCTGTCGCTCGCCACAGCTGGCCCACCGCCCCGCCCCTCGAGCACAATTCGTGAGAAGTAAGCAGCCGTCGTGCGATTGGTCAGCACGGTGCTCGAGCTCGCTCTGCCCCGCCCCCACAGCCACTCGAAATGTCGGAAGGCAGCGACTTTGATGAGGTCAGCAACTGGTCGGAGGGCAGCCACCGATCCAGCGATCTGGACACCATACAGGACCTCATGCGCCGGTTCACCCTGGATTATCAGCCAGACTACACGCTGAAGCTGCGAAACAGGTGGGGCACCTCTGCCAGCAATGAGTGAATTCCCGCACCTGCCCATGGACTCATGCGTCCCACCTTTGGCCCCACAGATTCTCTGGATTGGTCTTGGGTGCCGATTTCACTCATTCTCCGGTGACAAACACGCAAGCAAGCGCGCTCGTGGTGAGTCCTCCATTCCATGCTGGGCTGAGCATGGCTCCCTCCAGGTGTTGGTTTCCTGTGGATTTGGAAGAACACGGCCTGCTCCATCTCCTGGCTCCACCCGCCCTCGCACCTCCACTGCACCAGGTCAAGCCTGTGAGTCCTGGTGCGCCATGGCGTCGCCTGAGGCTCGACTCCGAAGGCACGGTGACCCTTCGATCCCGCAAACTCCAGTGGTGGCTCCTGACCCTGGACCTGGAGGGCCATGCCAACCCCCTGCGCAGGACCAGCAACCTGTCCTTCAGGTGCGGCGATGTAATGGTGTTGCCGTTTCGCATGCGTTTCGGAGGACATCGTGAAGGGTTGATGACCCGCGTGCCGTCCATGGCACTTCTCACTTCAAGTTACGACTGAAATGGACCTCCACGCTGTACCCCTGCAGGGTGGCAACAAAGTGGGACATGTACCGGGGACAGATCCGGAACAAGAAGAGGGTGGCTCTGGGCAGTGGCTCCGAGGCACGAGTGCACTACACCGTGAACTACAACCTGCCCGAGATCGAGGGGTGGGTGACACAGCCCTGGTGGAGCCGGGGCGGCCTGCTTGCATTCGGAATGAAAGGCTTGTTCGGAGGGCGGGCGACTGGGGCCCCCGCGCCGTCGCACACAGCACCCGGACACCATACGGCTTCCCTCCCTGCTTCCCTCTCCTACGCACAGCCCCCCCGCCCCGGGACCCCCTTCCCCTGTCATGCAGGAACTTCAAGACGGCCGGGCGGGACCTGGCCCAGAACGTCACCGCTGACGTCGGGTACGCGCACGGCGACATCCCCCGCGTCGAGCTGGTCCTCTGGCCGCTTGACCTGCTGCGAGGAAAGCGCGGCGCGGCGGGCGGCGCGAGCCTCCGCAACCCCGCGCCGCTGGCGGACGCCAGGGCCTCCGCCGCCCTCCTCGCGCCGTCCACCAACCTCGGCGCCCATCTCTCCGGCCTGGACGCACCCAACCCCGTGGCCCCCGCCCCCCTGGCCGTCAGGCATCCGGCGCCGCCGCCGCCAGCGGCACCCGGAAGGCAGGCGGCCGGGCCGCCGCTGGCGGGCGCAGGCCTGCCGGCCTCCCCCCAGGAGGCCTGGGCCGCGGTGACGCGCCGGGCGAGGGCGGTGCACGGCCGGCTCACGCGCTGGGCGCATGCTGGGGCCAGCGCCGTCGCCAGGGCCACCTCGCCCCAGCCCTCCGCCTCTGGTGACTGAGGCGACCTCAGCTCTCTCAGTACGCTGGTCGATCGACGAGGACCCCTTTTCACAGGTGCACGCACCACCCTGTACACCGTACTTCCCTTCCACATGCCCCACCACGTGCCTGCCTTGGAACTTTCCACAATGCCGCCTCCTGTACCATGGAACCCCTCCCTGCGCAAGCCCGCTGCATGCCCTACATCGTTGTGATACGAGCACCTGAGCTGCGAGGTGGGGGGCGTGGTGCGATTACACGAATCGAGAGATGTGAAGTGACCCAGTAGGAACCCACATGGGTCCAGCCACATGATGTGCTGGGGAGCTGAGTGGAGACCAAAGCAATCACACTCTGTCGGATGAGGCAGCCATGCCGATCACTTTTCTTTCACCCCAGCCTCTGAGCCGGCGCAAACATCAGCTGCGCCTGCTGCGCGAGGATGTGCCGGAGGAGGAGGAGGAGGAGGTGTACGACGACCGGCTGCTGCTGCTGCTGCTCCGTCGGCGGCGGCGAGAGGGGGGCGACACGCTGCGATCCCGGCGCCCCGACGGCAGCGGCGACAGGCTCCGATCCCGACGCCCCACCGGCGACCTCCGGCGTGGCGGCGAGCGCGAGCGGCGCGGCCGGGGCGGGGATGCTCGGCGGTACGGCGGCCGTCCGGCGGGCGACCGCGATGCGGGGCGTCTGCGCGGCGGGCTGCGGCTGCGCCCGCCGCGCCTGGCAGGGCTTGGGAACCGGTCTCGCCGGGGGCCGGGCGAAGGCCTTGCATCGGTGGGGAGGGTTGGGTGAGGGGGAGTGCGTGACAGAACACAATATGGGAGGACTTCTGCCCCATGGCACACAGAAGACAGCCTCACACAGTCCTTGAGCCATCAGGGCTCCAGAATCTCAAACTAGACCCCAGAGCCGACGCCCATGTGCTGTGCTAGAGCCAACACTGCACACCTTCGTGGTGACAGCCTGGCGCGGCCGTCCCGTGGAGGGGACGACCTCGGCCACTGCCCCGGGCGGCCCCTGTCCGGGAACCCTCCCCCACGCCGGTCCGGCTCGCGGAAGGGCGAGCGCGGACGGAGTGGCGAGCGCGCGCGGGGCGGCGGCGAGCGCGCGCGGGGCGGCGGCGAGCGCGCGCGGGGTGGCGGCCGCAACACGAACTGCACGGTGACGAGGTTGCCGTCCAGCTGGCCGCCGTCCATGTGATCCCGGGCCTTCTCCGCGTCCTCATGGCTCTTGTACTCCACATACGCAAAGCCCCTGGCGCAGGGGGGGATTGGGAGCTATTGAGCTGCGCTGCCCGGCAGATGATACCTGATCTAAGAAGCACCGGAGGGCGGCAAGTCCACTGGGCACTGGTGGGGTGGCAAGCACCTGCCGTCTGTCGACGCATGTGTGCCCTACCTGGGCAGGTTGACGGCGCGGTCCACGGCCACCTCCACCTCTTTAAGCTCGCCAAAGGTGCCGAAGATCTCGCGGACGTGCGCGGTGGTCACATTGCGGGTGAGGTGCCCCACGTGCAGTCGCGCATTGGTGTCGATCGCCACGTCCTGGTGCCAGGGGGTGGTGGGCCACTGGGGTCGGCACAAGAGGCATCATGACGCCGGTGATGCGTGCAAGACCCTGCAGGCATGCCCAGTCACAAAACTCCTCTCCACCTTGGGAACGTCCAAGGATGCAGGCTTTCTTTCCTTGCTGTCAGGCCTGGACTGCTTCCTGGGAGGGGGCGAGCGGGATCGAGAGCTCGACCTCGACCGGCTGGAGAAGGAGGAGCCGGAGGACCTACTACTCCTGGATGACCGGCTCGTTCCGCTCCTGCAGTGGTACATGCGGGGAATGTCGGGCCATAGACCCCGTATGGGATGGATCAGGGTGAAAGCCGCCCTTCCTGCAACCCCTCAGTGCTACCTGCTCCCAGGCGAGCCAGAGCTTGCAGGCCCCTTGCTGTCGGCCGGCATCCCAGCTCAGTGCGATGCGGGTTCTGTGTGCAAAATGGATTTAAAGTATGTCATTCACAATAACTCCGTGACTGGACTGTACTCGCATGGCACCCTTCCACATCGCACTCCTCGGTGGGCATCCCCACCCGATGGCCAAGCGACGAGTGTGAGCCCTCCTGAGCGAGACTTTTGAGATGGTATGCCGACGATCTCGCCTTTATGGGAATCAGGTTGAAGCGAAGGGGCGTCTTTTGAGAATTCTTTGCCTCATGAGAATCAGGACTTTCTTGTCAGAGGGGTGTCCCCTGCACAGCAGGAAAGTTGCTCGATGCTGTAGATTCCCCGCCCCACTCTCCCACTAATACAATGACTGGACATACAGCGCAATAATTTCATTCAAAGGAAGTCTGAGACTTGTTGAGTATCTCAGAGTTGTAGCCACATAGCGCCAGCGGGCGTCCCAGCGGCAGCGATAGCAAGCTGTCTTCGTGAAAACGCACAATGCAGTGATTTTGGAGCCAGTTCTGCTGAGATCTTGCAGTGTGCTTGTCTTACGGCTCTGGAGCACTCACACTCAGGTGTGTGACACTCCACATCACCGAGGAGTTCAAAGTAGAAAACCCACGCCGGGTTTGGGAGTATGTGAAGGCTCAAATGTGGCGTACGCTTCGCGCAAGCCGAAGATATGCCGCTACCGGGCTTGCGCCGGTTGCACAGCTGCTTCCCGCACGCGGGATCTGACTGGCGCAGTTGGTTGCCTCGATCGGCAAACCAGAGGGGGTGGGGGGGGTGGGAGGGCGGGA